GCTCAGCGGCCAACAAAGTCTGTCTGATTTGTTGATCCTTTGAAGAGCGTCCTCAGTATAGATGTGAAGTTGACATCTTACACCAGCAATGCACCCAAAGCAGCGGTGCTCCGAACCAGACAGCCTCTAAACGTATTTTACTCGAATAATCCAAGCCTCGTAACCGCACAGTAGGACAGCTATTCAATAGGCTTTATAGACTCGGTCTTTCAGAGGGAGACTCAGTTCGCATCCACGCCACGGCCTAAGACTTGCGCACTGAGATCTTTTCCGTTAAACCGTTGGCGCTGATGCACTTTCAGAGTAAAACGAACTTGTCTAGCACTTTCAGTGTATAACGTGAAAGACTAAGAGCGGGAGCAACTCCTAACCAGTCTTGTAGAAAGACCTTACACCTCGATGGAATGAAGGTCATTCCAAATAGGGGAACAGACACCTCCAATATACACAGCACATTTTGGGTAGTCTGGGATGAATCACAAAATACGACGATGTTGTCTGCATACTCCACATCGAGAAGTTCGTCCCCTGGAAGCAGTTCAACGTTGCTGGGTTTGCAGTCTTCCAGATCGGTTTTCAGGACATAAGAGATGCAGATCAACGACCGATTAACTCCGATTGATTTAGATCCAACATTTAAAAACCCAAGCATTAACTAGCTTCGACTAGAGCGCGTTGACCTAGCTACCTTGTTGGTTAATATAGTCACCTTACTCCGCTGCAGAAGGTACCACGAACCAATTTCGGATTCTATCCTCTTGCGCAAAACTGTTCACATGATGTGTCCTCATTATACATGCAGCAATCATACTGTCGTTACGCCGCATACTGCAATGCGAATAAATAATGCACAGCTGCGGTAGCCAATCGGTCCGCAGGAACTACCTGACGGGACAATTCAATGAAAGTAAACCAATATAAGCATCAATCGGCGACAGCCAACAAAAAGTAGAATTGTTATAAGTATCAGGCAAAACTGTTGTTCTCTTCCGAAGAAAAACGACTTCTAATTGTCATTTGAGAAAGTAAAAATGACGCTTTGGTATAACTGTCAAGAGTAAACGCAAATGGCTGAAAACATACAGTAGCCATCATCTCCAAAAGTTGCTGGAGTTTAATTCCCAGCACTGTCACAGTGACTGTGTTCCTTGGCCGCAGAGCCCGAGATGGCCAGGCAAACGTTGTCACGATAAGGTATATTGACTCCATTGTCGAGCAACGCAAGGTAACTGGTATATCTGATCGTGTCAGCCACCATGTATCACAAAGTACTCCGATTGTCAGCTGTCGCTTGATTCGGATCGATGTTGTGTCAGCTTATAATTTGTCATCGAGTTGACGTATACCTAACAAGTTAAAGTTCCTGACCTGTAAGATATAATGGAGTCAGTCTGGGTGAATCGGATATGACTAAATGCTTAGCGTTCAACAGAGGCAGAAGTCATAACTTGCGTGTCCGAGTAGGTGCAGCCATGCAGAGCCATTTAAGTGTCACAGAGCGTGTTGAGACTATGGTATATACATCAATTTTGACACAGGCGCAAGCCATCCTTCATAGCGTCCCATGTTTCGACCTCTAAAGCGACAGCTGATATGCGTCATTTAAATTAACCTGAGCCGACCACTTCCAAAGGGCAGCAATGCCATCTCAAAGATCATTCCCTCAGTGGGGCAAACCGTGGAGCGTGAAGTTATGTACAGACTAAATGACGAAAACGGAGAGTAACAAAGAATTTGGCATCATTGAAATGTGTGCAGAGGAGTCCCGAATGGACTATAATGAGCCTATGACTGCAATTTTCACTACCATTAACTCAACCCTCATCCTTGTTCCAACCAAAATTTTTGTGCTTCGACTCTAATGACAGGTTATTTGATCTAATGTCAACTTAAGTCCGTGTTTAGTTACACTCTGTGAATTCGTCGCATCGCATTTAATCGCTCACGCGTTGACTTAGTTTTAACCTTCTAAACAATCTTCATTATCGACTCCTACGGTATCGCTTGATCTTATCGGTGCTCTAAAATGTATCCACCTATACTCCGGTCTCCAGTTGGACGATGATGTGTCCGCTACGTCGTGACATTGATGCGTTATGAACGCGGATCATGTTACCACGCACTGCAATAGTGACCTTACAATGTTGCAATGTAAGCGGAGGTCACACACATGGAAACCCCTTCCTTCGTGCAGCTTATCGTGTTGTTCTCCCTTTAGCTATGTACATTTGAACCCCTTACAATGTCACCACTGTTGTATATGTAACGCACAGATTGAATGTGCACCGTTCAGTGTGACCTTTCTGGTTGGTCAGTTGTCTTAATTCGCTATTTTGGATAAGCCGTCGCTAGTTTTTTCCACGTGTGACTTGAAGCCTTATTAGTTAGTAATTCGTATCGATTTGAATTTATTGGTCGTATTGTGCCAAAAGTAAGTCCTATTGTGGCGCTGTACAATTTGTGTTTATATATGTTTGCAGATAGTTCCATTATCCAGCGCCCGCTTTGTTATTTAGTTGATTTCGGTGGGAACGCGTTAGCTCAAGGCCACCAAGCAGTTTGTCGCTTACACAGCGTGTATGTGAGGATTGAATTAATAGCTGACCTGAACTGAGCAACCCACTCATTCCGTCACCTTTCACCAGCAGTGAAATGACCAGTGTTTAGTCCAAACAGTGAGTAATATGCACAAAATGACAGTCGAGTTCCTCCTGTGGTCTGGTCACGAATTTCCTCTTTCTGCTTGATGACGAGACTGACGAAAGTAAAGATAGCAACATTACGAAGAGACGATAATGGCCTTAGCAAAGGTAGCACGCTATTCATGCTTGTATAAAATTGCGCTTAATCTTTTAGTTCGAATAAAGCCGTGGGAAGAAGAACACTGATAGACGTCAGCATTTCGTGTTGTCTCTTCAGTGCGAAATCAAATAAATCTATATAAGCCGACATGTAGGGTGAGATGAGAACAAGTAAGAACAAGATGGAGGGCAGGTGTAGGCAACTGAAGGCTTACGAACAGCTGTTTCTGCACACAGAGTGCGGGTTTGATACGGCTGATCACGACAGAGACTGTTAATGATGTGGAAAGACGCCTCACGTACCAACTAAACTTGCTCCTTTTACAGCGTGTGGTTATGGAAAAAGCATATAACAGCCTAGAACCGGGAGGGTCCAACATACCTCAGCCATACGGGTTGTGAAAGGCCCATCGCTGTGACATACCATTTAGACTAATCTTGTCTATGGCAAACTCGGCACAACATAAGCTGGCTTGTTGGTTAGTGGAAGTACTTGCGACCTTAAAGCGGCAGGCTACTCCACACGGTCTGAAGAACTCGTTCGAGCTCACCGAAGGTTTAGATGAATTTTGCTTATACGATAAAATCATGGCATCATTGGATGTACAAATGCTTTGCACCAATATTTTACTACATGAAAAAATTGATTATGTGTGTGATTTAGCAGCGTGCTCCGATTTAAGTCTCCCAATACCAGTCGAATCATTGAAGGACAGCCTATTACTATGCACTGAGAACATCGGTTTCCGTTTACAGCAGACTCCTCATTGCCAGATAGATGAGGTGGCAATAGGTAGTCCATTGAGCCCAGTTCTAAAAGATGTTTTCAAGTTGATGATTGAAACTAAGTAGTGTGTTGAAATCTCGCTTCTTGCATATTTTAAGCGGGATGTGGATGATAGTTTGGCGTTTAGACCATCAGAAGTGCACGTCACGCGTCTGGACGATGGCCTACATAACGTGCATACAAATCTGAAAGTAACCAGCGAAATAGCGAAAAGCAAATGTCTCCCATATCTGGACATGTTGATTTACAGAAGAGCAAATGGGTCCAACAAAAGAGCGGTTTACCGAAAGCCGATTTGCTCAGGGCAGTACCTGCACTTTACCAGCTTTTCCTCAATGCGGTACAAGCAGACCTTAGTCAAGACGCTATTCAATTGTGCGAGAAAAAATGTTCACCACCAACAGTTTAGACTATGAGATAAGTGCTCAAGGATACGCTCTGAAAACTGGCTTGCCAAGGAAATTCATCGACATACATATTCCGGTGAGGGTGCCGGAATCGATGGTTGCTACACTTGCTAAAATGATCTACATTGAGCTTCTATTTAAGGATAATTTTGCCAGTATGAAGACAACGAAAAGCATAAGTTCCGCAGTCCAGAGGATTTATTGTGCTACTCAAAATGTTCTTATCAACCGGACAGATCGAAAACCTGTTACCCCAATGAATGAAAGACAGTCTGTTGGCGCCAGCTTGCATGGTATTTACCAGTTGACCTGTAGTTGTGGTACACGATACATCGGCCGTACTAACAGAGCGTTGAACTCCAGAATAAGGGAATATGTACTTAAATGGTTGCAGCGTCAAATCACCGAGTCGTCGGTTGCTAATACCCTGTTCAAGTAGGCCACCTGCTTCATCCATAGATAGGCATTTAATGGCCACATATCCTCCGTTTGATCCGGCCAAAATGGTTACAATCATGTTAATGCATGCTAACGCCCGTTGCCCTCGTTTCGCAGAGGCAGTCGCGACCAGCCGTATTAAACCCGCACTCTGTGTGCAGAAACAGCTGTTCGTAAGCGTAAGGCTGCCCTGGGCGTAGAGTTGTCACGCCTGCTCTCCACGCTGTTCTAACTTGTTCCCGTCTCACCCTACCTGTCGTCTTACACATTTTCATGTATTTGATTTCGCACTGAAGAGACAATACGAAACGTTGACATCTGCCAGTGTTCGTTTCCTTACGGCTTTATTCCAATTACGGAAGTGACCTAATTGTTTCATATTATTTCGCTACTAAAACTGTAAAGTAAAATAAACTCAACAACATTTTTTCATGCATACTTTTGGTGGAACGACATTTCGCACCGGTTGTCAAAAAATGCTGTCCCATGTACCGTTGAAAAAAGCCAATGCGCTGGGAGTATGTCAACAAATACACTTGGAGAAACATGGAAAATGCATATACTCACCGATAGCCAGCTGTGCGCACGTACATTGCAAACTCGTGGCCAATATACGTAACCGGTCAATTTTGTTTTTCTTTATCGGCCCCGTGGGATTGCGAATTAGTTCGACCAGTTCGTGCTGGCCCTGAAAAGAGTAGGTGCGAAAGAAAGTCTGTTATATATGTTGCATATCTAGTCTGGATTGCGTAATATGTTTACTTTGGTTAATCCGGACGTCAGTGTGTAAGGACTTGCGTTGATATGAAATCCAAGCAGTTTAACATCATACCAGTTTCGCAACCGCTTCCGGTTGTGTCATGACACTTCGTTATTAGCCACATTCAATTTTTCGGCCTTTAAGATCGCAATTTGGCGTTGTCCAGTAAGAAAGTGCACAATTTTAATACCTATACGGGCATAACAGCTGCCGTAACTATTGCCTGCGTGGTAGATCCGGCTCATGAATTCCAGGTGAACCCTGATGCACAGTAGGACCACTGACGCACGTGCTCAGAGATGTTATTTCGAGGAACTTTAAAGGTAGATATTAGCACGTGGGGAGTAGTGAAACTACTGGTTGTTTTGGGTCCGGATCAGAGGGTTTGGTTGATGATATAGTTTGGTGTCTTGTATGCAAGCTTGTCGTTACAAGGTTGTAATGGGAAATTGGATTGATTTTGCTACCTAGCCTAGAGACTAGGACTAATAGGGGACCAATCTACTTCTCTTTAGCACTGGTATTTTGAAACAAACCAGGTTTTGGAATCAACCTCATTACTTACCGACGCAACCACACACACACATGTCTACTATGAAGATTTAACGATAATATCAACAGCAGTCAGCTATTGTTCTCCATTTTTTGTTGAAACCAATCATTGTTTGCCTCAAAAGACAAGTAGAGTGGGATTTAATTTTAAGTGAATACAGTTAGCCTCTTCCCACAATACAAGTGAATTCGCGATGAGATTGTACTAGTACATCGCACATACTGATGTACTTTCTAACATTAAACTCAAGGACACTTTATGAAGACGCGAAATTCCTATGAAACCTGGTGGTCTGTATAGAAATACCTATCTGTTTTCACTTCTTACACTAGTATGACACTAATGCAAAACATTTTAGACTGCTTCTTAGTCTACGGGGCAAGTCTGAACCATCTGCTGACCAGAGTGCACGGTTGTAAACTACCGACTGGTTACCAAATTGCAATGGATTCGCGACTCTCGGTTTGCCTCAGCAGTTGCACTTTCGTTCAGGTGAAACAACCGCGCTGTGATAAACGGCTGACATTTGCCACGGATCACGTGACCTGGATCCGGCGCCTGATTCAAATGGCTAACGAACATAAAACGTTACTTAAAGTGATTACTTATCCCATTTGATCGTCTGGGTGGGGAAGAATCGACTTCAAATATAACTCGCCGGTGAATTATAAGTTGCTAGTGATGAATTTGTCGTCCCTACCTAGACTAGAATGTACAGACAAGATTAAGGTGACACACCTACAACGGCTGACACATTGAGATAAATTGGCGTTTTGCGGCAGTCTGGCAGCACAAAGTGCACTCATTAACAGAAAATCGATTTAACTAGCTTTAACAATACTACACCAAGCAACTGCATTCATATAGACTCGAATGATTAATTAGTCGGGTATGATCTTCAAGCCGATGTCGTGAGATTGGAACCCATGCCCTAGTTACTCACCTGACCAAGAGCAGGATTTATGGGTAAGAGATTTTTAACGATAGCTCTTTAATCTACCTCGTTGTTGGATTGGAATATTTAGCACACCCGTAAGGGAATAATTTCAGGTTTGAACCTCCATGATTGACAGGTTAAAAGCGATGTGAAAAGGTGATGAAAGGTGCAAGTGTTAAACCTCTCACGTATCGCATAGTGATTAGAAGTAATAGCTACCATTCCAGTGTTTCGTTAGTTCTCCAACCGTGTTGTGTCACAAAATACAGCCGAACACGATGAAATGCTGTAAAGAAGTTAAAGAAACAACTCCTTTGGCTACTTCTCTTGATTTATTTCGCTATGTTCTGAGTTGTATACTCCAAGACTGCAGTTACCTTGAAGAATCTGTCATGGACAACATATATGGATATCCGAAGAGCTGTGCGGATGCGTATTTAACAGAGCCCACAAGGGTGACTCGATTAAACAAACGCTTCAATGCAGTACCATGACGTTTGCTATTCAGCACCAGTAAATTTACCTCAACATCTCATTTTGGCTCCGATAATCGTGAAATTAGACTACAACTTAGGGCAAACGAACCGACCGCCGGACTAGTTTAACAGAAGTAACTCCAACTAAAGGTTTGACTGCTTAATGACTGTTTTGCTGAGTGCTTCGAATGTGTCGGGATAATATTCAACCTCAGCGTAACCTGCCGGGCGAGAGAGGTGCAGTTCGCTATGGGAGCAGTCCTACTACAGATGAATGTTCGCTACGAAGTGCAAATTCAACGAAAGTACTTCCACGAACTAATTGAAAAAACGAAGGGCAATAATCATACTCGGATCGATGAAGAAATTGGTATTGCAAACGTTGAAACCCGGGCAACGAAAGAGAGATTGAGAGTATTGATGTAGATCAAAATGTCTCTAATGCTCGCGAATTTGACGAATTTGATGGGTGGCCAAAATCTGACACGAGAACGCGCACACCAACCGATTTTACGTATGTTTCTCCGTGACATGTTTAGATTGGTCTTGGAATTCGCACGAATTCGCTCGAATCTACTACGGTGCGGTAACTGCATCCTGAATTCAACGAAGTAGCATGACCTGGAAGGCAAACTAAAGTTGAATCTAGGGAGTTAGCAACGAACCATTAGTTTCGGGATTTAGTAGACGGAGAGGAGTGCGATCACGGTAGATGTGCTCTCAATCCAAAGATGCCCAGTTTTGCTTCGGTTGCTGAATTTTTCAACGTTATAGTCTGGTTTTTCAACTGATGAGTGTTTCAGGAACTGGTGGAAATTAACTCCAAAGTATGTGACCATCTATCCGGTAAATCGCATGTTTGTGCATTTCTCAACTGAGAGGAGCTAGATCTAGGGCCAGTTGAACGAAAGATATTTGAGAAAAGTAGGTCCGGCGCCAGTAGAAAAAGAAAAAAGCAGTGGCGTGGAATTCTAGCTGGGTTACTGATGATGGTCACGTTTCTCGCCAAGCCGAACATGACACTGCGTGGGCACCGAAAAGACAAACAGAAGGATAAATAAGGTCTGGAAAATAGATGGAAATTTTCCAATTTGTACATCTATTTGGCGGCATGACCCTGTTGTTCGTGAACATTTGGTGATGGTTTAGATGGTAAAGATAATCACCACTCCTTAGCAGTCTTCAGTAGTTAAAAGTGCACTTGTGAAGATTTGGCAAAACAGATCAGAAAGGAAATTATGAGTCAGGTGGAGGAAAGTAAGCGTTTTGTTTAATTTTGATCGCACTCCTGATGTATCTTGTTAAAATCAGACAAATGATGTATATCGGAAGAAAACACAAACGGACCAGATATTAAACCACCACAGCAACCATCCGATAAATCACAAGAAAAGCTGCATTCAAACCCTGTTCAAAAGAGCGGAAACGCTCTGCAACACAGCCGAATCGCGGAACCAGGAAGAAAAGCGCCTATATCGAATGTTTATCAACAACGGTTATCCGAGAAATTTCATCAGAAGAAGCTTAAGGAAACGAACGTCTCAGCAACAGCAGCAGTCACATGAGCAAGCAAACAAACGGATAGTGCTCCCCTACATCAAGAACGTCTCCGAACTCAGAGGAAGACTGCTGCAGTCACATGGCATCACTGTGGCCCACAAACCAAGTGACAACCTAAGGCAATTGATCTCAAGGCCCAAAGAAAAAGTCAATCAAGCCGACCAATGCAATGTCATCTACCAGATAAAGTGCAGCGACTGCGATAAAAACTACGTCGAACAAACTGAACGAAAGCTTTGTACACGAATCAACGAACACAAGGCGGCCGTCAGAAGACATGACCCGCACTCGTTGGTTTCTGCGCGTGAAAATCAAGAAGGCCACCATTTCGATCTGGAAAATGTAAAGATTCTAGCACATGGAGGTACAAAACATGCGAGGGAGTTTTTGGAAGCCTGGTACTCTAAAACGAATTCAGTCACTTGACACATCGAACTGCACGCAGTATACGCAACCCTACTGGCGAACTACCGACAACTCCATCGATTGCCTCCGATGGAACGTGTGACTAGACAACCAGAACTGACGACAGACTCGCTCATAAGAGCAGGCAGACAAAGGCCACGAAACACAAGGGGTCAAGGTCAAACGTCATCTGCCCATCAACCCAGCTGAACGCGGATCGAATTCCCAGCCAATAGGATTGCTCGTCTCCACGGACAGCCACGGGGATATAAAGACGCACGCACACCACGCTCAGCGCACTCTCACCGAAGCTCCGCTACGCTACTCTTCGCTATTGCATGCCACTCAACTATGCAGTGATAATGTCACCTCGATTGGTGACGAAACATTTGCAACAAAATTGCCAAGCTCAGCGAACAGTTCAACCACCAGATAACTGATGTGTTGCGCTGCGTACAAATGGATAAAAATGAAATGGAGGTTGCAGAGTCGTTTCTTCGTTTCACTGAAACCAATAGCAAAAGCGCAGAGGAAGTTCCTGGACCCATTTTGACATTTGACAACGATACTGTTATGGTGGGCTACTGATCGGGTGTCCAAAGTCGCAACTGCGAAATCCATCTTACGGATACATTTCTGTCATGTACAAAACCTTCTCTGAATCTGGCTTGTGTATATGCAGCTTGCGCGACGGTTCCCTCTGTTACGCCTTTTGGTCCAATGGGCCGGTTATCCTTGCGCTAGCTTACACATACATTAGCTACAATGTCCTACTTCAATTGACTGGTCTAAGTATCAAGCAACTATGGAGACTAGATGGAGTAGACGAACAGACTATGTGAAGGTTATGATGAAGAAATACTCAGTAATTATCTCTGATCTGGAACAGCTCACCGTTTAAAGTGAAGATTCTGCCACAAGACCAGATGCAACATTAATGTTCATCTCGGAACGGTCGTTTCGGATTATTCCATTGATCTCCCAACAACCAATGACA